ATCCAGTCATCCGCCTGGTTTTAGGTGTTTGAGCTGCTCGCTGCTCCCAATAGTGGCTGGGTCGTGGCGGTGTCGTTGGAACGAGCGACGAGACAGGGACGCAGGCGTGTACTGCCGGCGCTAGGCTCGATGAGGCTGCGCGTCTCTCCTATCTTTAGACGTATCACGTGAGTTGGCGCCTTGAGAGCGGACCCTGAGAGGCTGGCCAATGAGGCGAGGTACATTACCTAGTGCCAGACAAGGCCGCCAGCCAGATTCCATCCGCCCGTGCTCTTGGTCCTTCTCCCCCTCCAAGCTTCCAATCAGTCCCGATCCATTGTCCCCAGAATGTCCCATCACCAATTGACCTTCCCACTTGCACCACCATGCCCCTCCATCGCCCGACATCGACCTGCCTAGCTGGGTAGGTGCTTTCCCCCCTTCTGCTTTGCGCTTGTCGATGCTCCGGCACAGCATCTGAGAGCAAGATTCCCATGCCTCTGCGCTGTTCGGCCGAGTCAACACACCTCATCCATGCCATCTTGGTTGGACCTGGGTCCTCCATTGGCCCCTCTCTCGACCGCACGACCCTCGTCTCTCTGTCGAAAGCTCCTGCTGTATCACGACATGCCATCCGGAAGTGGCCTCTTGGCACCTCGATACGGAAACAGCTCGACACGCACGCGATCACCTGTTTGTCCTGGTCCTGGTCCTGATCCAGAAGGGGGGGAGGGATCAAATCACCCGCGGCGCATCGGCCGTCTAGCCAGAAGCGCCATCGCTATCGCCTAGCAGCCAGCCTGCGCCGGCATGGCTTCCGGTCGGGTCGCGTGAATCGATGCCGGTCCAGTCACCCCGCGAATGAATGAATCGAGAGAAAGATCGTCTGGATATCCCCGTGACACGGTACATCGATAGCGGCAGCGGCAGAATCACAAGCAAATACAGAAAGAGAGAGAGAGAGAGAGGGCGCGCGCGCGAAAGAGCACAGGCAGCGCAGAGGCAGAAGAGGGGCGTGCTTTGGTTGGACCTCGAACCTCGACCAGACCTCAGAGACCTCCTCTCCCTCCGACAACTCCTGTACTTGAAGCCAAGTTTCTCCTTTGTCTCTGTTTGCGCCTGTTCACCATTCCCTACTCCAACTTGCTTTTCTCCTCGATCCCCTTCAACGCGGCCGATGACTTGATCCTCCACACTAGCCTCCTCTCGTGGCTGCACCAATGACCCCCAAACTGCATCATTGATTTCAACCTTGCAAATCCGAGCCAGAGAGCTACCCGCTCTCTCTTCCCCCCAAATCCACAAAGTTCCCGTCACCCCCTGGGCGCCACCCCCAGGTCTTCCCGGACCTGATCTGATCGGACCTGACGGCCAGCGAATTACCTTGTCCATACCCTTACCCATCCCCATAGCCAACCTGACAAGCTCCAATCCGGGCTTTCACCATTGCGCCGGTTTCGGGGCATCCACCCTCTGGATCAACATCACGCCTCTGCGTCAGCACCTCCGGTCGCCGGCCTATATCCTGGTATCCTGCCATACTGCCATACTGCCGTACTAGGCATCTGTGACAGCTCCGTCTACCTTGCGCCCCCGTGAAAGTCGTTCCTCCCCCGCGAAGCTTGACCTCCGGCCGTTCGCCGTTTGACCCCCAGGATCGCCTCCGTTCG